AAACATTACCCCTGAAAACTGGAACAAGACAAGGCTGCCCACTCTCACCCCTCTTGTTCAACATAATGTTGGAAGTCCTAGCTAGGGCAATTAGACAAGAGAAGAAAATCAGGGATATCCAAATAGGAAAAGAGTCAAGTTATCCCTCTTTGCTGATGATATGATCCTATAACTTGAAAATCCAAGAGAATCTGTCAAAAACCTGCTTGCACTGATAAAAGACTTTGGCAAAGTCTCAGGGTACACAATAAATGTGCAAAAGACAGTTGCATTCCTATACACCTACAACAAGCAGGCAGAGACCCAAATTATTATTATTATTATTATTATTATTTTTTGTGAGTTGGAGTCTCACTCTTTTGCCCAGACTGGAGTGCAGTGGCTGCTCCTGGCCACCGCAGCCTCAACCTGCTGGGCTCTGGCGATCCTTCCACCTCAGTCTTCCAAGTAGCTGGAACTACAGGCGCACGCTACCATGCCCGGCTAATTTTTGATTTATTGTAGAGATGAAGTTTCGCCAAGTTGCCCAGGAGGGTCTTGAACCTGCGGGTTCAGGCAATCCACTCACCTCAGCCTCCCAAGGCGCGGGATTACAGGCTGAGCCACCGAGCCCAGCAAGAGACCCAAAATAAAAGCACAATCCCGTTCATGATAGCCATACACACACACACACACACACACACACACACACAAATGAAATACCTCAGCATCTTCCTAACCAGAGAAGTGAAAGACCTTTACAATGAGAACTACAAAACACTGCTCAAAGAAATCCAAGAAGACACAAACAAATGGAAAAATATTCCATGCTCATGGATAGGAAGAGTCAACATTGTTAAGATGTCCATCCTACCAAAGGCAATCTACAGATTCAACACAATACCTATTAAGTTACCAACATCATTCTTTTCAGACCTGAAAATGACAATACAGAAACTCATATGGAAACATAAATGATCACAAATAGCCAAAACAATCCTTAGCAAAAGAAACAAAGCAGGAGGTATCACATTTCCAGCCTTTAAACTTTACTATAAGGCTACAGCAATCAAAACATCCTGTTATTGGTACAAGAACAGGCATATAGACCATTGGAACAGAATAGAGATTCTGGAAGCAAAGCCTCAATTTCTCAACTAACTCATCTTTGACAAAGCCTCCAACAACCACTAGGGAGAGAAAAACCTATTCAGTAAGTGGTGCTGGGAAAACTTGCTGATCACATGTAGAAGATTGAAACAGAACCCCTACCTATCATCGTACACAAAAATTAACTCAAAATGGATCAAAGACCTAAATGTAAAACCTCAAACTATAAGAATCTTAGAAAATGCAGGAGACACACTTATGGAAATTGGATCTGGCAACCAATTCCTTTTTGGAATCCTAATAAGCCCATACCTTAAGAATTAAGATAGACAAGTGGGACCTCATCAAACTAATGAGCTTCTGCAAAGCAAAGAAACCATCAAGAGAGCAGGGAGACAGTCCACAGAATGGGAAAAAATATTTGCCAACTGTATATCTGACAACGGTCTAGCATCTAGGATCTACAAGGTACTCAAATGCATTGAAATGAAAAAACAAACAGCCCCATTAAAAAGTGGGTAAAAGACATGCATAGACACTTCTCAAAAGAAGATATACAGGCAACCAAGAGATACATCAAAAAGTGCTCAGCCTCCCTCATCATCAGAGAAGTGCAAATCAAAACCTCATTGAGATACCAACTAACCCAGTGAGAATTGCCATCATTAATAAAACAAACAACAGATGCTGGCGAGGCTGCAGAGAAAAAGGAACACTTCTGCACTGCTGGTGAGAATGCGAACTAGAGCAACCTCTGTGGAAGACAGTGTGGTGATTTCTGAAAACTAGAAATTGACCTTCCATATGACCCAGCAATTCCCCTATTGGGAATATACCTGGAGGAACTCAAATCATTCTACAAAAAAGATAGCTGCACACGTATGTTTGTTGTAGCTCTATTCACAATAGCAAAACCATGGAACAAACTATGTTGCCCATCGAAGCTGGACTGGATAAAAAAATGTGGTGCATTTGCACAATGGACTATTATGCAGCCACAAAGAAGGACAAACATACAGGTTTCGCAGCAACTTGGATGGATCTAGAGTCGATCATACTCAGTGATCCATCACAGAAACAAAGAACAGAGCATGTTTTCATTAATAAGCGGACCTTGAAAAATTATTATAATACTATTAGAAAGGGATTGGCAAACTGGGAATTCCTAGTGGGAAACTGTCAGGGGAGGGGGGGTGAGATTGGCAGTTGAGGGAAACTGCTTGGGGAGGAAGGGGCATACCTCATCAACAAGGGTAACTGCATAATCAACACTTGTATACCTAACCCTGAATTGTACCTCACATCTTTCTTTAAAAAAATTGAAAAAAAAAGAAAATTGATTGGATTTAAAAATGTGACACATATACATGATGGAATATTATGCAACCATAAAGAAGGACAAAACTATGGACTTCACAACAACTTGGATGGATTGAGAGCCTATCATATTCAGTCATCTATCACAGAAACAAAGAACTGAGTACCATACATTCTCACTCTTAATTGAACCGTTAACACCTATCATATTACTACAAGAAAGAGATTGGCAGTAGCAGGACACTGCCAGGTGAGGGGTGGGGGCGGGGAACACAACATCAATAAGGGTGCATGGTTCCAATCCAGACAAAGTGAGGTCTAACGAAAGGTCCAAACTTAACCTATATGTAGACCACTTATGTATTCAATCCTGATTTATACCCCACATCTTTAAAATAAAAACAAACAAAAAACCATCAGTGGCTTCTGTTTGTCTCAAGCTATAATCCAGCATCTTTCACTTGGCACACAGTGTGTTTCTTGATCTGACACTGCCCATTTTTACAGCTTCATTTCTAACCACACCCCTACATTTCTTCTGTGGCTTTAGATATACTTTGCTGTCCACACCTGTGCATTTTATGGTTCATACCTTTGGCTAGAATGACTTTCTTCTGGTGATTCCCTTTGTCCTTTTTCATATTCTATGCTTGTGAAGCCCTTTCTGAACCTCAACATTTGTTTAGTTCACCCATGTTCCCTGTTGTCACAGTCTGTTTTATAAAATGCGTTTGGCCTCTATGTTAATATATCAGAGTTATCTATTTACAGGACATTCTACACCCCTTCACTTTTTCTAGATTAAAATTCTAGAGGGCAGGAGCTCCTGTTTTATATCCTTGTGTATAATTAGTACTGACGTAGGTGCTGCAAGATTTATAAAGAGGAAGACTATGTTGCTCAGTGTCACCAAGGAGCTTATTCTAGTTAGAGAACTAAGGTGCTAAAAGAAATGCAAATAAATCCGATCAATTTAGCTTTAAATTGCCTAATTCTAATTAACTGCACAAAATTTATAGAGATGGAAAATCAAAAAAATAGATTACTGTGATATTGAACAAGTTTAGAGCTAAGAGGAGACAGATGGGCCTTGGGGGTTGGGTAAAGTTAGAACAGGTAGGAGAAAGAAGGGCACTATGAGCAAATTCAAAGAGATGGAGCAGGGAGAAAGGACTGCATGGGGGAGGGGGCAATGAGGTCCCCATCACTGCAGGGGACCATGTGTGATGTACTTTGGAAGTCAAAAGTATTCAGGCTGGATGTGGAGATGATAAAAAAAAAACAATGTAGATTCGTAAGGCGGGCAAAGACACGTCCCAAAGTAGTACATTGGTGATATTCAGACTGGACATGGAGATGAGAAGATCAATTAATAGACTCTGGCCATGACCTAGAGTCTTTTAATGGCTCATGACAGTGGTGTGAAGTAGGATGTGAGAGGTAGAGTGGGAAGGAACAACAGGAGTGATGAAGGGGAGGGAGAGTCAAGAATGGTTCACTTATCTGGAAGAACAGCACCATGACCTGCGAAGGTGAGGAAACTGGGAAAGGGCAGGACTGGTTTGCAGATGAGTTCAACTTTGCATGCACAAGAAATGTGGAACAATGTGAAAGTTGATTTGTTGCCTTGCTCTCTCTCAAAGAAATGTGGATAAATATCAAACTTGGTTTGCAATAGACAATTATTATATAGATTGCTTTAAGAGTCTCAAAGCCTGCAAATGTAGCCTCCAGGACATTTTTCCTTTTCTGCATTAGTGTATGGCTCGGCTTTGGGTTTAGAAAGGATGACAACTGCACATCTGATTTTGCCTGTGGCAGTATCTTTCACTCTCATTTCCCTGGCCTACCTATTTTTAATAGTTGGTTAAGAATTTAAAACATTTAGAAAGGTAAATCTGCCACTTTGAACTGAATTATTTGACATTTGCTGAAAAGCCTGTTATATCTGGACACTATGCTAGGCACTGGGGATATAAAGATGACAAAGAAACATCCTTGCCTTCAAGTGGCATATAATATAATCCAATCTAAGTAGATGGGGTAGATAGATAATCAAGCAGTTAAACAGATGTCAAAGTAGCATGGGCTGAATGTTATATTTCAGGTAGACAAAAGTGGCTAAGGGGACACTAATTCGTCATAGTTTGTTACTGTTGTCTGTGATGTGGAACCATCTCTTTGATATGTTTTTTTTCCTTCTAACTTGAATTGTATTTATTTATAACCTTGTTCTTTCTAAATAGTAACTATAAACTTAGTACTTTAGCTTCCCAGAGATTAAAATAAATATTCTTCTGAACCTCTGCATAATATCTTTTCTACATGCTGCAAAATAGAGTAGATGACATCAGAAGGCAGACAATTGAGTAGACATAGCTGCTATTCTTTGGCAGATGACTCTGAAAGCTGTTTTTCAGGCAGTGGAACAGTTCAGTGCTGAGTCACCATTCAAAGGAACATCTTGAGAAATTCTTGAGAAATGCTGGTACCCTTATTGTTGTACTTCAACCCCTAAGTGGGAGTCAGACTTGTCAATGTCCTCTGGGGTTTCACCAAGTCACAAGGAAGACAAACCCTGAGAGGATGCCTACCTGCATGACAGCGAGACCCCGCCCAGCCAGGTGGACAGTCACACTGATAAGGGGCCACGCAGCGACCGCCATTCAGACAGGGAAGAATACATATTGCTAAAAAAAAAAAAAAAAAGAGGGGGGCATTAAAAAGGAGTTGATCAAAATACATAAGCACAGATAAGTTTAAATGTTCAGAAAACATTTTCCAAGGAAAGTGAAACCTTGCATGACTCACTAGATAATTTTCCAGAATGTGTTCTGCTTATTAATGAGTATCACTGGGAAAACACAAACAGGAAAGTAAGTCTGGATCCTTAGCCAGATGTAAGGACTCTAAGGCCAAATGCACTGTCATCGATGTCTGCTAAGTGCTTTGCTTTAACTCTTCACAAAATAAACAGAATGATCTCCATTTGTTATCATTTCAGATTTCTATTACAAATTATGTGAAATGCTGTAAGAAGGTTTGGCTGCTTCAAGGCTCTCTTCTTATCTTGGATTAAATGTGAGAACAGAAATCTGATGGGCTATCCTGTAGGCTTGTGTTTAAACATTTTAGTAGTAATGGGACAACTCACACTTTCTTTTCTAGGAGCTCAGATCTGATGGTGACTGAATTAGGTCTCCTCTAGACCATCCACAACAATCACTCCTCCTCCTAGAAATCGCTGAACTCTTTAAAGAGGCACAGTCTGTTCAAAAGATGTGAGATTGTTGCCTTGCTCCTTCTCTAACCAGACTGACATCACCCAGGAGTTGGTTAGGAATGTAGAATCTCAGGTCCCAGCCTGAATCTACTGCTCTCCCAGATGACTCATATGCACATGAAAGCTTGGAAAGCCCTGGTATAATGCAGGAGAGTAGGCACATGCTCAGTGAGTCAGGCCAGCTGAGCTAGTCAAGTCAGCCTTGTCATTGGGGTACTCCTGAGTCAATGCTCCCTAAGTCTTTGGACTCTTGACATTTATAGTAGGTCAAGTCTAGAAGCCCTAAGTGAAAAGGAATGATTTGGGAAAGGTGAAAGGGAAAAATGTGACTTCTCTTCTTTTTGTATCACTGTGAGAATATTTGCTTTACTGAGTTGTTAGCAGCCGCAATTTATTTTCATCATACATTTTCCTTTATAGATCAGTCAAAAGAGTCACACTTAAGAAATTTTAGAGTCTCTTATAAGATATCTGGCCTTTAGAAAAAATTGGTATTGACAAATGCCCACCACATTAATTACCATTAATGGTTTACATATACCACTCCTAATAAAAGATGATATTTTATCCTTAAATATATTTTAGAATATTGAAACAAAGTGCAGTTTAGTTATTAAAAAAACATTTTAAACCACTTATTTACACTGCTGGCAGTTCAAATTCAATGGTATTTCTATAAGGATCAAAGTTCTATGATAATTCTAAATTACAAGCATTATATGAATATAAGAATGCCAACTTTCCTTATTTTCTTAATTAGTATAAAGTATTCCTAAAGATAAAGAGCGAATGGTGGGCTGCAAATATTACCTACAAAGCGCAGTGTTCTGCAATACTGTGTACTTATGCCAACTGCAGTAATGACTTCATAGTACACAGTAGACCTGAGGTAAGGGAAGAGGAGGGCTGGGAGACTCTTTATTGCAAGCTCCTTCCCAAAAAGATGCTTGTAAATTTATGTCAGGAGGCATGTAAAGATGACTTTAGATGGATCTTAATAATTGTATTTTCAAGGTCATTAATATTCTAGATCTTATGCAACCCTCTTGGGTTCCCTCCCACCATGGGAGCTTTTCTGTCCTTTCAATAAATCCTACTTTAAAAAAAAATATTCTAGATCTTTGCAGCCTATGGACATATTCAGATCAGGTGTACATGCTTTTTCTGATCTGCTACCAGGACCTAAAGCAAATGAATTCCTCCCAACAGTAAAGCCAATTCCCTGTAACTTGACTAAGTTGGCAACACCCAGGCAAATGGTCAGGACTCAAAGTAAGATATGAAGACCACTCACGCTCTTCACAGAGGCGCCCCATCCAGCCGTCTGGACAGGAGCAAGCATTTGGGCGCTGGCAGATGCCCCCATTCTGACACGGGAATCGACACACCGCTGGAAAAGAAGCAGGGTGGGAAGGGTGGTAGTCAGAAAATAGAATTACTCATTTACAGTTCATAACATTTCCTTGACTCAAGTTTTAAGGAAGGGAAGCAAAATAGACTCTCAAGAGGAAATGCCAGTACGTGGAGAAGTGTAGCATTTTACTGGCTACTGTAATTACAGTTTCCCCCCCAGCTTTATTGAGGTACCATAGACAAATAAAAATTGTATATATTGAAGCTTTACAACTTGATGTTTTGATATATGTATACATTGTGAAATAATCACCACAATTGAGCTAGTTAACTGATTCATCACCTCACATAGTTATTATTTTCTTTCTTTTTTTGTAGTGAGAACACTTGAGATCTATTTTTTTTTTTTTAGCAAAGTTCAAGTACTATTAGCTATAGTCACATTGCTGTACATTAGAACTCTAGAATTTCTTCATTTTCTATAATTGAAACTTTGACATTTTGACCAATATCTCCCCATTCCCACAATTTCCCAGCTCCTAGGAATCACCATTCTACTCTCTGCTTCTGAGTGTGACCATTTTAGATTTCACATATCAGTGAGATCAGGTGGTATCATCTTTCTGTGTCTGGCTTATTTCATGCAGCTTAATGTTTTCCAGGTTTATTCATGTTCTCTCAAATGGAAGGATTTACTTCTTTTTAAAGACTGAGTAATGTTCCATTGTATCTCTGTCTGTCTCCCTGTCTATACACTCAATATTTTCTTTATCCATTCACCTGCCAACAGACATTTGTTTCCATACCAAACAAACAGTAGTCATTTTAACATCTGACATTAAGTGAAATCTGGGCTATTCCTTTAGGATGTCCCTTCCCAGCAGCCTTCCCAAATGGTTGTATACTCCCTTACATCCCATGTGTTGGAGATATCACTTCTAATTGTTGCTGCCAATTAATCCCCCTTCTTCTGCAGTAACTCCTACTTCTTTTGAGGCTCAGGTCATTCATCCATTGACTTCCCCTGGCCCCACAAGTCATTAAAGACCTTAGCCTTTTCATCACAAATCCAAATCTGAACACTGTCCATGTGAACAAATCATCTGACAACTTGATTAATCTTTTAATTCCTTGGCTATGTCTGTTTTGTGTACTACTATAGTTCTTGACTTTCAGCAAATATTTGTAGAATGAATGAAATAATTATTGTGATTTGTAAAAGTCATAATTTTTTAGAAAAGTTTTAGAAGGACATACTAGGATGCTTCATTATTTCCTTCTATTTTGCAGAATTTTAAGCACAGAACATGAGTTCTGTGTGCATGCCTTCAAAACTCAAACTGTAAAGTTAGAAAATGACACAGTCATTCAGAGAAAATGTAAAGACAAGGAAAAATAAAGTAGCATGTGTACTAATTGTTGACCACACAATTCATACATATCTCCCTGCAGCTTTACTGAGAAATAACCATTCAAATATTTCCATACCTCTGCAAATAGGAGGTGATGTCCATGTTCTATTTTCTAGGCAAACACTCCTTAGGGAACCTTCCAACATGTATCCACTGTAACAGGAGTAAGTGATCATGTCCCCATATTGATAATGTATGCCTCGAGCAATTGCATTTTCTACATGAGCTGGTGGACCACATGAGATTTCTATAGGAAAAGAAAACAACAATTAAGCCTGTGCGACTCACCCAGCCTGAGAACATAGTCTCATCTCTAAGACTGAATTAAACAGCAAAGATAAAATACACAAGGGAAACATTTTCACCAATGTAATATGTTGAATACCAGAAACTAAAAGAAAAATCTGCTGCTGTTTAGAAAAATTAGACTACAAGATAAAAGATTTTTGGTTTTTCTGATTCAAATATTGAAGCTGGGCTATTTTCTTTTTTTAAAATTAAGTCTTTTAAAAAACTTTAAATTTTAGACTTAGGGGGTACACATGCATATTCGTTACATGGACATATTGTGTAGTGGTGGGGATTGGGTTTCAAGTGGCCCATTTCCCAGATAGTGAACATTGTGTCCCATAGGTAATTTTTGTACCCTAGCTCCCTTCCCCCTTATTGGTGTCCCCAGGGTTTATTATTTCCATCCTTGTGACTGTGTAGTTTCTACAATTAAGTAAGGATATCGGTGTTTGGTTTTCCATTTCTAAGTCAGATTACTAAGGATGATGATCTCCAGCTCCATCCACGTTGCTGCAAAGGCATGATTTCATTCTTGTTTATAACTGTAGTATTTCATGGTGTATATATACCACATTTTCAATATCTACTGATTGGTTGATGGGCATTTAGGTTGATTCTACATCTTTGTGATTGCAAATTGTGCTGTGGTGAACATGTAGGTGCAAGTGTCTTTGTTATATAATGACCTCTGTTCCTTAGGGTAGATACCTAGTAGTGGGACTGCTGGATCAATTAGTTCTTTGAGTATTCTCCATACTGCTTTCCAGAGAGGTTGTACTAACTTATACTCCCACCAACAGTGTATAAGCCCATGCCAAATTTGGGCTACTTTTAACTCAAGGAAAGAAGCCTGTAGAAGACCAAGAGCAAGCTCTTGCACCTTGCTATATAGATGGCTATAAGAGAACTTCAATACAGGTTGCTTATTAAATTTGGAGAAAAAGAGCATGATGGTTGTAGTCTACTGTTTCAGGGTAAGGATCATTAATTGCAGTGCTGCATGTTGCATCAGGGCTGTTTTATTAGTGTCTGGAATAGCATCTGGCATACAGTGGGCTCTCTCTATATATTTGAAAAATAGGTCAATGAAGGAATATTGTCTCTAACCTATAGATACTCAATTTATATGATTTGATGAGCTTTATGAAATTCAAAAGTCCACAGTTGTTTCTCAATTTCTTTTTTTTAAATAAATAGAGATGATGTCTAGCTATGCTGCCCAGACTGGCCTTGAACTCCTGTGCTCAAGTGATCCTACTGCTTTGGCCTCCCAAAATGCTGGGATTACAGGCATAAGCCACCACGCCTGGTCTAGTTTCTGTCTTTTCAATATGGTAAAACAGTGATTTTTTACTTATGGGATTTTGTTAGATTGAATGACAGTCCTCTCTTTTAAAGGAGACATGTACTGTATTTATTTTATTTTATTTTATTTATTTATTTTAATTATAAAGCTGTGGGATACAATTCAGGGTTAGGTATACAAACATTGATTATGCAGGTACCCTTGATGAGGTATGCATCTCCCTCTCCTAGCAGTTTCTCTCAACTGCCAATCCCACCCCCCCCTCCTGATAGTTTCCCATTACTGCCAAATGCTTTCTTATAGTATTATAATTGTTCAAGTTCTGCTTATGAATGAGAACATATGGTACTATGTTCTTTGTTTCTGCGATAGATCATTGAGTATAATTGACTCTATTTTATTACTAATTTTTCTTTGAGAATTTGACAAGAAACCTTCAGATACCTAGGATTATTCTGGGATGGATCACAAGGTGAGGACAGGATTGGAATCTGGATTCTAATCAGTATTCAGTTTGCATAAGTCCAATTTTTTGGTGAAGAGTCTTCATGAACTGGCTTTGTAAAGGTCATTTTGTTGTCATAATACTATTTACAAACTTGTTGGAGGAGATAGCCAATTTGATAATGTTTCCAAATTTTCTTTCCCTTCTTTCTAAGGTAGGAAAAAGGGCATACTGTGTATGAGAAATTAGCAAGAAATAAATAAAAAAAT